CAAATATGATGCCGAGAACTATGTCGGGTTTCCGGATTGCCGGTAAATAAACACGTAAAACTGGTCAAGATGTGATTTGGTTGAATTCATAATTGGACGGTTGCCTATCATCACAATTACCGGTGGCTTAAAAGTTTGATTAACGTTACATGATTTACCACGTGCATTTTTTTTTTTTGGCTTTTTTTTCCTCCAAGAATTTTAGTCATTTCGCTAGACAAAATTTAATATATCAAACATGCAAGTTGCCAACAATTCGAATGAATGGATTAATTGGATTGAAGAATCTATCTCAAATAATAGGATCAAATACTATGAATACAAACATTTTAGCAATTTTCAAGAGATTGGTACAGGCAGCTTTGGAAAAGTTTATCGTGTAAATTGGAAAAGCTCAAATTTACATCTTGCTTTAAAATCGTTTCATAACTTTAACAATGCCACTGTAAAAAAATTTGTTCATGAGGTAATTACAAAATAAGGATTGTATTCTGTATTTAGTACTTTGTATATCAATCTAAATTTATATTCTAATAATTTTAGCTTGAACTTCAACGGGAAGTTGATTTTCATATCAATATCATTCGTTTTTTGGGGATTACATCATCAAATCAAGGTATATAAAATTAAATAATGTGGATATAAATTGACTCTTTCATTTGATTTTAATTAATTTATAAATAAATATAAAATATTTTCTAAAAAACAAAAAATCTTAGAAAATCAAAATGATCAATTGAAAATATATTGGTTAGTAATGGAATATGCTGACGGCGGTGCTCTTAAAAACTATTTAAAGAGTAATTTTGATAAGCTAGCTTGGGGAGATAAATACAACCTGGCATTACAGTTGGCTTGTGCCGTATCATGTTTACATAACGAAGGAATTGTGCATCGTGATTTGGTAATTTACATAAATATACTTTCTTCTGAATATTTGCTTTTATTAACTAATATTTTTTTATACATGTAATAGCATTCCGGAAATGTACTAATTCATCAGGGTGCTGTTAAACTAGCCGACTTTGGATTATCGAAAAGAACTGAAGCAGCAACTAATCAATCAAAAACTTTTGGAGTAATTCCTTATGTTGATCCAAAAGTTTTTAATAGACGAAGAAATGACAATACATCACCACAATTTAAACTAAATGAAAAGAGTGACGTTTATAGCGTTGGAGTACTTTTATGGGAATTATCAAGCGGACATCCTCCTTTTTATGTCAAGGATGAAGAATACGACATAAGTTTAGCTATCGAAATTTTAGGAGGACTTAGAGAAAAAATCATTCCCGGCACACCTGAAGATTATGTTAAAATTTACACTGGTAAAAATATTATGATTATGAATTCATATATAAGAATATAAAAGATTATTAAATTTTTTTTATCTAATTTCAGGGTGCTGGGATAATGAGCCGGATAATCGTCCATCAATGAATCAAGTAGTTGATAAATTAAATGCAATTGTTAAGATAACAAGCATAACAGAAAATCAAACGAATAATTATGTTTCAAGTCTTCAACAACATCGTTTGAATAATATTGATGCTTCTTCTAGTATAAATAATTCATTTGGAGAATCATCTCAAATTGTTCGATTTGATCAAATAAATGAACAAACGAATAGTTCTTTAAAGAATGTTGATGCTGAATCATTACATAGAAATTTAGCTCAAAATTTTAATCAGAATAATTTAGAAGAATCAGAGTCAAATATTGAAGTATCAGACATTATTTATGATGATACTATTGAAAGTTTAACTATTGTGGAACTTAATAAGGATGACATATTAAGCGCCTTAGGAGGATTGCAAAGATATCGGAAATTAAAAGTACTCGAGTGTCGACATACTTCAATAACTATCCTTCCAACATTACCCAAATCCTTAACGATACTCAACTGTTTTAATACTAAAATAACTATCCTACCAACCTTACCCAACTCCTTAACGATACTTGACTGTTCAAATACTTCTATAACTTGTTTACCAACATTACCCAACTCCTTAACGGAACTCAGATGTTATAGCACTAAAATAAATGACTTACCAACATTACCCAAATCCTTAACGATACTAAACTGTTTTAATACTAAAATAAATAGCTTATCAACATTACCCAACTCCTTAAAAGTACTCGATTGCTCTTATACTCCAATATCTATCCTACCAACATTACCCAACTCCTTAACTGTACTTTATTGCTCATATACTCCAGTAACTGTACTACCAACATTACCCAACTCCTTAACAGAACTTGATTGCTCTAATACTCCAATAATTATCCTACCAACATTACCCAACTCCTTAACGGAACTTGATTGCTTTAAAACTCCAATAACTATCCTACCAACCTTACCCAACTCCTTAACGATACTCAACTGTTATTATACTCAAATAAATAGCTTACCAACATTACCCAATTCCTTAACGAAACTTTATTGTCAATTTACTCAAATAACAATCCTACCAACATTGCCCGAATTTTTAACGGTACTTATATGTTTTACAACTAAAATAAATAGCTTACCAACATTACCCAACTCCTTAACTATACTTAATTGCTCTAATACTCCAATAACTATCCTACCAACATTACCCAACTCCTTAACGGAACTCAAATGTGATTATACTATAATAAATAGATTACCAAATTTACCCGATTCCTTAACGAATATCGAACCTAAATATTTAAAATACTCAACACCTCGATAACTATCCTGTCAAATCGAATAATCTTTTCTTGAACTGTTGCCTAATTATTTAACCTTTTTCATAATCTTCAAGTTTTTTAGAGCAAATAATTCAAAACTTTGCTTTGATAGTTATATTGGATCGATGACAAAATTGTGGTCATTTTGTCTAGTAGCTTATGACATATAAGCTCTTAGAGCTCTTTCTGAATAGATGACCCTAACATTTCTAAAATTTCTCTTTTTGAATATCTTTACTTATTTTTTTTTTGAAATATGATATATTATATTTATTATACAATACTTTATATTATGATTTCCAATATCTAAAGTAATATTTAATGTCTTTTCAAATAATAAATTGATGACATTTAAACTTTCTTTCTTTCATATAAAATTTCTTACTATATTCGTTTCTTCATTTCTCTTAAAAACATATCTAGTCATATTAACTTGATAAGATCTGGTCTAAATCAGATGTTTTAAACTGAATATTTTACAGGTCTCCCTAAACGCAAGAATTGATTAGACCATTCATTTTATAGGGATTGGACCCACAATTGATTATCCATAAGAAATTATTAATGAAGGATCAAGAATTCTTGTATAAATTATTTATGATAACAATTATAAATAAGGATGGCATACATATTAAACAATTGCAAACGATATCAAAAAGTTAATAACTCTATTATAATAATACACAAATAACTTTAACAGTTCTCAAATGTTATAACATCTTTATTGTTACATTGGGTTTTCTAATATTCATTTCTTAGTATTAAAAATAAATTTTATAAATTTACAAATTCTTTTAAAGACTATTACCGATCGTTTATTCTTTTTTTCATTAAATAAGAAATATTTACTTAAATACTTTATTTGTTAATAATAGCTGTTGTTAGTTAACCTGGAATTGAACCGAAACCAGATTAACTATATAACTAGTCTAGTCCTAAGAAAGATTATGCAACAATTTTATTAATACGATTCTTATGTGTAGTTGTTTATTACAATCAAGTCCAAGGCTCGTCAATCACAATCAAGTCAGATTTTTGTACAAAATTATAAATATAATGAATATAGCGAAAATATTTTAAATTATCTAAAAACTATGATAATAAAATTAATATAAAACGAATACAATATTTCTATTAATATGATATGATATAAATTATTAACACGTTATTTTCCGCAATTTTTGCTCCATTCGTAAATTCTAATTTCTAATGACATAAAATAAACACATTTTGACAATTTCTTTTACAAAGAAAGCTTTCTAATGGTATCAAAGCTTCAGCCACTAAAATAAACTGAAAAAGAAATAAAGTTAATCATTTCTTATTATTGTATATTCATTATTTGTAAGACGCTTTTATAAAAAAAAGACAGAACAAAGGAATATAATAAAAATTAATAATCTCAGATATCCAAATAAACGCCTTAAAATTTATTCTCAACGAATCAGACAAGCCAGACCATAGATTATAACGTTAAATCTGAATTAATTTACTAAAAAAATAATAATAAATTTTTTTGGTAATTCCTCCCTTTCTACTGCAAAATGCCCATATTATTATTAAAAATTTAATAAATTTTATTCATTTCCATCCCTTCCCTTTTGGAGATTGGACCGGCCCTAAAATTTTTAACCGGTTAATTATTCTTAAATTTAACTTAGGACCGTACTATTATAAATTTAGCCAGAATTAACAAAATATTTTGGCAATCATAAAAATCTTAATTCTGAATGAAAAATTCCGGATTTTAACCGATTAAAGAATTTACTTTAACTGGTCTGGTTCCAACCTCTATTCCTTTTTATCATGTAAATTTGTTTGATCTCAATCAAATTTTAAACTCGATTTTTTTCGATCAACGTTTAATTTATAGGAAGCACAAATTACCCTTAAAATTTCTTAGGACAATTTTATCAGTTACTATCGTTTATACCAAATTCAGTATCGTGTTTAAGCTGAAAAAATAAAATAATTATCTTCTGTAATAAAAAAAAATGAAAATCAATCAAATATCATGACTTTACATAAATTAAATCAACATTATTAGCGTCGTCAAGCATTTAAAACTACGTTATTAGCACATTCCATAAATTTGAATTGAAAGTGTAAGAGTTACAAAAGGTTTTAACAATTATTTATAAAGAAATCGGATAAGTTTATCGTAGAATTTATGATCTACCTGATATACCGTACCAAAATGCCCCAGAATAAAAAGTCTATTGACTCATAATTTAGTAATACAGATAAATGATCTGAGAACAAATAATGTTTTTTCATTTCGCATCATGCACTCTTCGACCAGCAGTAAGTTTATCATCAAGTGCCACATTAGTTAAAAAAACTTTTCGATTCGTTAGAAATAGTCAGATCCTTATTCGGTTTTAGAGAAAGTTTATGCCGAAACTAGTTCATCTTAGTTCACTAGTGAAGATATGAAAGCGTTAAAAGTGAACTTCAAACCATCTTTAGCTGAAATGATGTTATACCTGATGTTGAAGGTACGTCTTCAATGTGTACTGTGAAAATTCTTCTTAATAAACCTAATGCTTACAATTTAATGTTAGTTACCAGCTTTCCGGAAGAATATGAAGAATATGTTCTCTCCAACATTATCAATCATACACTTAGATTATCAGATTTCAATCTAGGAAAGCTTAAAGGAATTCCAATCTCGTCTGAACCTTCATTGATAAGTTGCATATCGTAGAAACTTCACAGGAGGTCGTAGGTGCAAAATTAATAATCCTGCATTGACTCGTTGGTATGCAGATAATACTAAGTAAGTATTAACCAATTCATTTGTCTATTTCCTATGACACACTTTAACGGTTTTCACTTTATTAATAAGAGCAATGAATATAAAAATCGTATACAAAAACACCTTGAAATTGTATTCAAAAAAAGATGTCGTTAGATTGGCTATAGAAATTGTATTTAGAAGGTTTTTAAACGTATGATTATCTCATGTACTTATTGACAGGATAAACAACTAAAAAAGACATCGAGCCGAAGACTGGCTTTGCATAAACGCAAATTACCGTCAAACTTCTTGCTTTTATGTATTTTTTTTTTCTTAACAAATAAATATTTCTTAAATTTAGTTTTCGAAAAAAAAATATTTAATTGTTCTTTTTTTATCTTACCATTTTAGATTAGAAAAAATAAAAAGACTTTCAGGATTATCTATATTTTTTAAAAATAAATTTGCGCTCTTTACTTTTCATTAGATTGCTCTTTCAAGTTGGATAATTTCTGCGAGCATAGGGTAATTTTTTCTAGTTTTGGTTGTTTTTTTTTTCAATTAATAAGTAGGTTTTATTTATTTCTTTCCTTTCTTTTTTTGCATTATTAAGGTGCTTTTTTTTGATAGAGTTTATATTTTTATTTATTTTGTTAATTACAGTAACTGTAATTTTTTTTTTATCTCTTTTAGTCGGTTTTTTAGCGACTCTTTTCAGTATAAAATGCTATTCTTTCGCTCAGGCCATAATTTATATTTTGAGGGTTAAATGGGATTCCTTGGTTGTATTCGTATGTAAGATTATTTTTTTTATATTAATTTCTTGGTCTTCTAAGGTTTTAATTTGGATTACTGTGGGCCGCATCAATTATTTCGACTTTGTTTGTATTTTTTTATTTGTTTGTAATCTATTTTTTTTATTAAATTTTATTTATTTTCGATCCGAACGTTTCAGACTAATATTTTTATTTTCTATTTTATCATTGGCGCAGATGGTTCCTAGTTTATAACTAGGTTGGTTAAGCCTAATAGTTTCTAATTGGTCTTATACGATGATAGAACTTTTAGTTAATTACATTTTATTAATAATTACAATTTATCGGTTAATTCTTATGAACGTCGCGTAAAAGAACAATTAATAATATAAAAGTTCTCGTTCTTTTTAACTATAGGTCATTAATTTAAATAAATTTATTTAAACATAGACCCTGATCCTAGGACTAGACCGTTCTCTATACCAATATTTACATTTTAAATAAGTAGCTTTAAATAAAAATTATTATAAAGTAATATTTAAAATTTTTATGAACATGGAAGAAAATGATTTCTTATTAAATTAAACAAACTTTTTTTTCGAAAAAATTATAAACTTAATCGATTCTAAAACGTATGGGGGGACAGTTTTAATTTTATAGATTTTAATTTAATCATTGATCATTGTTAGAAATTATCCCTTCAAGCGTTTTGCAAGCAAATTTGCCTGCAATTTTATTTAATAATTAAAATTATTTATAATAATTTTAAA